GAGTTTCTGTCCTGGAGCAGCCGCCCCGGTGTGTGCCCGCTCTGCCCGGCTGACACCCGTCCCTCTGCCCCAGTTTGAGCAGGTGCTGGAGTCCCAGCTCGCCCGTGTGACCGGGCTGGGCAAGCGGCTGGAGGAGATCGGCCGCGTGCAGCTGGACCCCGAGGCTCTGGGCTCGCAGCTCTCCGAGCAGAAGGTGGGTCCGCAGCGGTGCCCAGGGGTCCCGGGCGACACCAGCTCGGCGTCCCCGCTCCGCCAGGCCCTGCGCCGACCCCCCAGGACCCGGCACCCACCCGCTGCTCCCTTCCAGCTGCTCTCTGCTGAGGTCCTGCACTGCCGGGGGCTGGTTGAGCGTCTGCTGGGGATCTCAGAGCCGCTGCTGCGCTGCTGCCCCGAGCCCCTGCGGCAGCGCCTCCAGGTGAGTTTGGGGGGGGGTTTGCCAGAGGGGACGCTGCCCCCAGCGCTTGGGGACGGCCGTGCCCCACACCCCCAGCCGTCCGGTGACCCCCCCCGCCTCCACAGCCGTCGGTGCAGGCGCTGCGGGAGCGCACGGAGCAGCTCTCCCTGCGCAGCGGCGCCTGTGCCGTGCAGCTGGAGCACGCCCAGTCCCTGCTCGCCCAGTTCTCCGAGGCGCTCGAGGAGCTGCTGCCCTGGCTGGAGGAGACGCAGGCCCTGGGGGTGCAGCTCTCCCCCGACGCCATCAGCTACGAGGCCTTCAAGGAGCAGCAGGCGCTGCTGCAGGTGCGTGGGGGGGACAAGGGGCGGGGACACGGGAGGGACATCCCGCGGGGTTGGGAGCGGGGAGGTGACGGGATGAGGTGGCATCACCGGGGGGGCCCGATGGCACCCGATGAGCATCAGCCTGCTGGGAGCAGCGCCGGGGGTGCACCAGCACACGGCCCCGTGGGATGAATCCCACCCCGACGTGGCCCCACGGCCACTCCTCGCCCCCAGAGCCTGCGGGAGGCCATCGCCGAGCACCGGCCGCTGGTGGGGAAGCTGCAGCGGGTGTCGGCGCAGCTGGTGGAGCTGAGCCCGGAGCAGGGAGCCCCGTTCCAGCGGCGCTGGCGGGAGGCCGAGGAGCAGTACGGCTGCATCCGCGAACGCGTGCGCCAGGCAGCGGCTCTGCTGGAGGACGCCCTGCCCCGGTACAGCCAGGTACGGGGGGGCTGGCACCGGGGGGGGGGGGGGGGGGGTGTCCCCGGGGGCGTCCCCTCGAGTGACCGGGCCGAGTGTCCGCAGCTGACGGAGCGCATGGACCTTCTGCTGGAGTGCCTGGAGCGGCTGCAGAGCCGGCTGCAGAGCCAGCCCCCCGTCCGAGGGGACGCGGCCCACCTGCGGGAGCAGATCCGGGAGAACAGCCTGGCCCTGGGCGAGCTGGAGAAGCTGGGGGTGGCCCTGGAGGGCGTGCGGGCGCAGGGCGGGGAGCTGCTGGCCACCATGAAGGCGGCGGGCTCCGACGCCGTGGCCAGAGGTATCGGCACGGAGGGGTGGGCAACGGCCCCGCCGGCGGGTCTGTGTCCCTGTCGGGGCTGTGTGGGGGTGTTGGATCCCTCAGAGCGCTCTGATCCCCGCCCCCCGTGCCCCGCAGGGATCCAGGAGCGCACGGAGCGGCTGCTGGAGCAGTGGGGGTCCCTGCGCGGCCGCTGCCAGGAGCAGGAGCGGTGGCTGCGGGAGCTGCTGGCGCTGGCCGAGCGCTTCTGGCACGGCCTGTCCGAGCTGGCCCTGGCGCTCGGGGACACCCAGCAGCTGGTGCTGGGGCTGGAGGAGGCCGGCGGGGAGCCCGAGGGCATCCGAGCGCGGCTGCGCACCATGCAGGTACGGCCGGGGCGGGGGCCTGGGGGGCAGCCCCCCGGCACGGGCAGCCCCCCGGCACGGACAGCCCTGACCCCCCGTGCCATGTGCAGGCGCTGCGGGAGGAGATCGATGCCCTGCAGGGCGAGCTGGACACGCTGGGCAGCCTGGGTGTGGAGCTGATGGCCTCCTGTGGAGACCCCGACAAGCCCGATGTCACCAAGAGCCTGGACGATGTGAGTGTCCCCGGGGTTGGGTTCGTGGAGGAACGGGGTCCTGGAGCTGTGGGGTGTCCCCTGACCCTGGGCAGTGCCACTGACCCCTGCTCTCCAGACCCCTGCACAACACCACTGACCTTCACACCCAGTGCCACTGACCCCTGTGCCTGGACGCCTGTGTGGTGCCACCCCAGTACCCCAGACCCCATACTCTGACCCCCTTTTGGCACCACTGACCCCGTACCTTGTCCCCCTGCACCCTGTCCCCTCCGTGGCACTGCTGACCCCGTGCCCTGTCCCCTCACGCCCTGTCCCCCCACACTCTGCCCCCCGTGGCACCACTGACCCCATGCCCTGTCCCCCCACACCCTGTCCCCCCGTGGCACTGCTGACCCCACACCCTGTCCCCCCGTGGCACTGCTGACTCTGTGCCCTGTCCCCCCACACCCTGTCCCCCGTGGCACTGCTGACCCCACACCCTGTCCCCCCACGCCCTGTCCCCTGTGCCACTGCTGACTCTGTGCCCTGTCCCCCTGTGGCACTACTGACCCCACGCCCTGTCCCCCCACGCCCTGTCCCCCCC